GAATGAACTAGCTACGGAAAGGGACGTGCAAGTGTGTCTCCTAAATTTTAAGCTAGAAGGTGGCTGCTATTCACTAAGGCCTTTAGCTGAGTGTAGTGACACAGGCCTGTAGTAACACAGGCCTGTAGTCCCAGCACTTGGGAATCCCCAGGTATATAAAGAATTCAATGCCAGTCTGGGCTGCGCGAGTCTGTCTCAAAAGTTAATAAGGGATGCTTCCTCTCCCACACTCACAGGAGAGCTCTCTTTCATTCTCCACCCATTTGCCTTGATAGCAGAGTTTTGAACCAAATAACCTGTTGCTCTAGGGTAGGACAAATAATCCCTACTCAATGACAAATATTTCATAGATTAGCTAGTGACTCATTTACTCTGAGTAGAAAAATTGGGCTGAAGTAATAACTCAATGGCAAACTGTTTACTTAGCACACTGTACCTGACTTTTACCCTACCATGGTGTTGAACATTGAGATCTCCCTGTTTGCTCATGCTGACCTCCAAATTCTGGGTTTAAGTGACCCTCCCATGCCCCTTGAGTAGCTGAGATTACATTACAAGTGTCTAACACCCTACCTTGCCCGGCTCCTCTGTGATTCTGAAATAGGAATCAGAGGGAGCACCTGGTATAAGCTATATACCAGCTATAAAGGAAAAGTCAAGGAACAAAAGGGAAGTTATCAATGCCTTATTGGGTCATCTAGGGTACCACTAACATATGTCAGTAACCGGAATACTCAAAATTCATAATTTGAAGTTGTTAAAAGGACCATTTACAGAGGAATAAGCAATCTTCTGGGAAATCAACAGGGGATAGCAGATCACCCCGAGGGCTGATGCTATTATCCTGACACCTAAAGGGACAAAGGTAAGAATACAGAGGCCCCTTAGAGAGAAAGCTCTGCGGACAGCCTTTGGTGGTCTACCTTTAGGAATGAGAACTGTCAACTTCCCTGTCTTCAGACCTTTCTACTGTTCAGATACTGGAGGGGAAGACTGTAAACTGCTACCATCTAGGGAGCTTAGACTTCTGTGGTACAAGGTCAGAACCGGGAGTGCGTTCGCCAAGTGTGGCGGCAGAGGATTGCATCTCCAGGTAGCGCTTGGGAGGCTAAGCCTGAGAGACTGTAAATTTCAAGTCAGCCCAGGCCACACAGCAAGTTCCGGGCCAGGCTGGGCTACCTAATGAGACTCAGTTGAAACAAACCAAAATAAAACAAAAAGTACAAATCAACCGACCAAAACACAGAACAACCCTTTTTTCAGACCCTTCCCAGGTACCTATTGACTCCACTTCTTAATAAAACCTTGCTTGCCTGCTCTTCAAAAACAAAACACAAAACAAATAAAAAGAATGAAGGACTAGAGTGAATATGAAGGGACAAAAAGAAGCAGGTTGCAAAAAGCAGTTGTGGCTCAGAGGTCAGAGCACTGGCTGCTTTTCCAGAGGTCCTGAGTTCCATTCCCAGCAGCCACATGGTGGCTCACATCCATCTGTAATGAGATCTGGTGCCCTTTTCTGGTCTTCAGGGGATACATGCATACAGGACACTACATAATAAATAAATCTTAAAAAAAAATTAAAGAAGCAGTTGCAGCTGGTCTGTGGAGGCCCACACCTTTAATCCTAGCACTTGGGAGGCAGAGGCAGGTGGCTCTCTATGAATTCAAGGTCACTCAGGTTTACAGAGCAAGTTCCAGGATAGCCAAGGCTACACAGAAAAAACTTTTGTCTCAAAAAACCTAGATAAATAAATAGGTAGATGATAGATGATAGATATCTAAAAAAGACAACCAGCTCCTGTCATGTGCAACAGCAATGCATTATAAATCTTTTAAGTCCTACCACTACATTCTAGAGTCCCTGAGACAACAACTGCCCTCCAAAGCAAATTCTGTTTCCTAGAGACATTGTTTCTTGATCATCCTTCACCTTGGCTTGAGAAGTCTGTGACTCTTTTTTTTTTTTTTTTTTTTTTTTTTTTTTTGAGACAGGGTTTCTCTGTAGCCCTAGCTGTCCTGGAATTAGCTCTGTAAATCAGGCTGGCCTCGATCTCCCAGAGATCCACCTGCCCCTGCCTCCTGAGAGCTGCGATTGAAGGCAGGCATGTGCCACCACCACATGGCAAGTCTGTGACAACACAGAGCTAGGGCAAGAACTTGGGAAAGTACTTGTGAGGATTTGAGTTTACTGTCCAGAACCCATTTGGGGAGGGCGACAAGCATGGTGGCACTAGGGAAGCACAGACTCTCTGAACTGCTGGCCTAGCCTACTCCAGTTTAAGCCAGTGAGAGAACTCACCTATAAATAAACAAAAACAAACAAATAGGTAGATGCTGCCTGGTGTTCCTCTGACCTTCATATACATGGGTGTGTGTGTGCGTGTGCATACACACAGACACAGACACACACACACACACACACACACACACACCATGCCATTTCCTTTTCCTGCAACAACTCAAAAACTGTGTACTTGAACAAGCAGAATGGTAAAAATGAATAGAATGTGTTCAGAGTCACACTGACTGGCATCTGTTGGTACAATTGTGTATAAGAGTTATGTATTTCCTAACAAGACTTTTAAACACAAAAAATCACTTATAACAAGCACAGCTAGCTAGTTGGAAGTTAAAATTTAAAGCACCACCAGGAATAGCGCTCTAACGTTGGCATTGGGCAATAGAAATGGAAGTACAGTCCTCATTGTTTCAGGAGGATGCTTAGGGTCAGGTAAGCTAGAGATTTCCGTGTAGAAAACAAGAAAAGCCTTACTGTTTATAGCAGATGTAATACACGAAATGATAAGTACAGTATTTAACGTGGTTGGGGGCGGCATGAGGTGGAGAAAAACATTTCACCAGTAGGAACATGCTCTCAACGATGACTGGGCACCAGAATATAACTTTATTAAGTCATAAGAACAGTATGTGCAGCCAATATTACTTTAAATCAAATTTCAGTGCTAAGCAGAAAGGTCTTATTAGGTTTACCAAAACCTGCACTATTTTAATATCCACTGTAGGGAAGAAAAGTTAGGAATATATTTAAGTTGTGATCAAGTGCTAATTCCATAAATTAAGGATCGGTAATAAACTGAAGTGATGGCTCACCTCCCCTAATGTCAGCACTTGGGAGGTAGAGTCATGGTCATTGTCCAAGGTTAGGGGCTGGGGACACAGCTTGAAGATTAAGAGCACTAGTTTCCTTTCCCAGTACCATACTGGGTAGTTCACAACAGCCTGTTATCTCTAGCTTAAGGAGGATCCGATAGCTCTGGTGAATCAGGGCACAAGCACCCTCTCTCTCTCTCTCTCTCTCTCTCTCTCTCTCTCTCTCTCTCTCTCTCTCTCTCTCTCTCTGTCTCTGTCCTCTCTCTCTCTCTCTCTTTCTGTCTCTGTCTCTCTCTCTCTCTCTCTCTCTCTCTCTCTCTCTCTCTCTCTCTCTCTCTCTCTCTCTCTCTCTCTCTCTCTCTGACACACACACTCGTATAATTAAAAATAGAATAATTCATGCTGGGCGAGGCTGTGCTCTCCTTTAATCCCACCATTTGTGAGGCAGAGGCAGGTGGTTCTAAAAATAGAATAAATCTTCGAAATGGAGTGTGAGTGTTCAAAGCCTGCTGGATGTGGTCCTTATGCCTTTAATACCAGCCCCAGGGACGAAAAGCCAGGAAAACCTCAAAGAATAAATCTTTTTTTCTTTTCTTTTAATTTTTATTTAAATTAGAAACAAGCTTGTTTGACATGTCAATCCCAGCTCCCTCATCCTCCCAAGAATCTTTAAAAAAAAAATTCAAGACCAGTCGACGTGTGGTCATTCTAGCAGGCACATTCTTGAGTTCAAAACCAGTCTAGTCGGTGGCTTCCAGGTCAGCCCGGACTTGGACCGCTCTCTCAAAAAAGCAAAAAAGAAAGCTCAAGGCCAGCCTTGAATTCAAGATCAACTTGCTATGAAAGACCCTGTCTGAAATCATCAAAGCCCACTAAAAAGTTAAAAATTGGAAAAGGGTGCGAAATGTTAAGTGTTTTACTCAAGAGCACTCGAGAAGCATTTCGTTGTCTGTGGGGTGAAATCAGGACGGACTAGTGCACTCTTTGGAATTTCTGGACTCAGGATCAGGAGTGCCCGCGGTGCCCACAGCCTCACTTTGCCGGGATCCTGAGCAGCTGCTCCCGTGAAGGGCCTGCAGCGCTTCACCTTAGCGGAAATGAATCGCCTGGTCCTCCCGGTCCCCGCGGAAAGTCCTCGTCTCTGGTTCACGGAAGGCAGGAGTGGGGAGTAACAGGTTCACCCGCGGCCGCCGCTGGGGCGTGGCCTACATCAAACCACGCCCGCCGCACTCGGGCGGACTCGTCAGGACCCGGTCGCCGCAGCTAGGCGACTAGGGGAGCGGGTGTGTAGCCACGTCACTCTCCGGGGTGCCCCGCTCCCTACACGCCCTCTACATGCCCCGCCTCTTGTGTCACCTCGGCCTCTGCAAGCCCTGCCCCTTATATTGACTCGCCCTCCAGTTCTCGCCAGGATCCTAGGGCACCTCGCCTTCCGAACGCTGGTCCTCCGGGCAGCCTCGCCTTCCGTACGCCTCGCCCTCTGCACGCCCCGCCCACCGGCCGGCCGGCCTCTCCCGGTGTGCGCCCCGCCTCTTGGACGCCTCGCCCCCGACACGCCCCGCCCACTAACCCGCCTCGCTCTCTGCACGCTCCGCCCCCGGCTGCCTCATCCTCGGCACTCCCCGCCCCCTGGAGCAGTTACCGGCTCAGGCCGCTCGCGCTTCGGCAGCTTCCCTACAGCTCCTTCAGCCTGGCGGGAGCACCGCGTTGTCGCCCGCGCCCGCTGAGGGCTCGCGGCTCGGGCGCGCCCGGCGCGTGTGGCGAGCTCCGGCCGTGCGCTGCGACGAGGCCGGGCGGCGGGCGGTTAGCGCTCCGCTCGGCGGGCGGGGAGGAGCGGCACGCCGAGCGCTGCACGCCTCGGCGGGCGGGTTCCGCGTCCCACGACCGAAGCGGGTCTGTGCCCCCGTGTGGAGAGAGGGGCGGCCGGGCTCCCTGGACCCGGACGGCCCCCGACTGGGCAGGAGGCTGGGGCCAGGGGCCGGCCATGTCCGCTCGCGCCCCGGTGCCCGCCGCTGCCCCCCGGGAGGACCCGCCCGCCGTGGCCGGCGACCGGGACGCGCTGTTGGCAGCGGCGAGCCGGCGGGCGGAGCAGCCGGCGCCGGGCGAACGGGAGGGCAAGGAGGCGAGGGAGGAGCGGGCCGCGGCCGCCACCAGCGCGGGGGCGCGGGGAGAGCCGTCGCCGGCGCTCGTGCTGGGACACAGCGTGCCGCAAGCGGCCGTGCCCGTGAGGCCGCTGGCGCTGCACCTGGCACACAAGGCGCGCGCGCCCGGGGGTCCCTTCGGCGGGGAGGCACCACCGCCGCCGCCAGCACCGCCAGCACCGCGGGACCCTCCAGAGGACGCCCGAGAGGACCCTGCGGCAGGCGGCCCCGAGGACAAGCCGCCGCCGCCGCCAAAGGGGAACCCGTGGACCAAGAAGCTGCCGCAGCACCTGTCCCCCGTGGGCACCGGCGCGCCGCCGCCCGCTCAGGACGCCCCAGAGGCCGGTGAGTGCGGTCCGCGGGAGGTGTTGCGTTCCTAGGTGTCATTCAACGTGCCGATTTACATAAATGGACATCTGGGAGAGGGAGCGACAGGAAGAGGTGGGACCTCAGGTTCTCCTTGACGGCTAGGGGCACGGCGTGGGTGACTGGGCACCGCGGCCCGGCTCGACTTGTGCCTTCACGTGTCGGCGACCCGGACGCAGGGAAGACTGTGGGAAAGTTTCCGTGAACTTGCCTGGGTGTAAGCGAGTCAGAATAAGCGGATTTGTGTGCCAGTGCGAGCTCGATTGGGCTGGCTTGTAGTAACTGTTGAAATGCAAAGTGTAAGGAGGCTGCTCGGGGGTTGTGGCTCTGAATGCAGCTGGCATTGAGGTGATTTTCGGTCGGTCGTGTTTCAGAATGCCTGACATAGGACAGTTGATTGAGACTGTGGATCGCACGGCTGGTCCCATGGTAGCGTGCGCGTTAGAGATTGGGTTGTGCCATCGCGTTCGAATGCTGACCAATGCAATATGGCCCTCAGGGCTTTATTTGGGTTGCAGCAACTGCAGTTTAGAAAATACTGGCCTATACTTGGTAGCACACGCCCGTAACCCCATCGATGTGGAAGATGAGGCGTTCGAAGGCAGACTGAGCAATTTAGTAAAGTATTTCAAGACCAAAAAAGAAAAGAAAAGAATGGAAATGCTGAGTGGAAAAGAAAAAAACCCGTACTAAAATAACTGGGCTTTTCTATAGAAATTGAGGTTGTTTTGTTGGCAAGTTTTCGCTGTTCTGAGGAGAGTCGGTGGAACAGCCGGTTTGAGCTTGTTTACGGGGTTGTGGGGGTCAAACGCGGTGAAGGAATCCTGTACAAATGTGATAGTTGTATCTCTCCTGTAAGGGGGGCAGATAAATATTGACTAACTTAGTTTCGTAGCTTTTGCACGTAAATCCTCACTAATTTTTTGTTTGTTAGTTATTTTGTTTGCTGGGTTTTTTGTTTTTGTTTTTTCACTCCCCCGAGAAAGGGTTTCTCTGTGGCTTTGGAGGCTGGCCAGGAACTAGCTCTTGTAGACCAGGCTGGTCTCGAATTCACAGAGATCCTCCTGCCTCGGCCTCCTGGGATTAAAGGTGTGTGCCAACAACGCCCTGCTTTTGTTGTTGTTGTTTGATTATTTGTTTTTGAAACACGATCTGAGTAGCCCAGGCTGGTCTGGGACTCTGGATCCTCCTGCTACTGCCTCCTTCCAGTTGCTGGGTTTACATGCATTTGACTCTCCCCATCAATTCTTACTAAATTTTGGCACTTTTAAGGGGAAAAAAAAACCCACTGAATTAGTATTGGCATAATTCTGGCCTAGCTGGAAAGAGCTGAATAAAACATGCTGTGCCAAGTCTCTCTAAAATTTAGTAAGAAAAGAAAATCTTTGTTGCTTTATTGACAGTTAACCTCTCCACGTTTAGATTTGTGTTTATTGAACTACCAAATATGAAGTCAGTTTTTATAAACCCAGTTTTTTAGACTTTAAAACTTTTCAAAGAGAGACTTGGGATTCTTTTTTTCTTTCTTCCTATGCTGGGGATGGGGGGCAGTTCTTTAGCAAGCTGCAGATGCAGATTTCCTACACCCCCCTCAAGAATTTGAATTGCAAATTACTTGGAAAAATATTTGACTGTTTAACCTACTTGTGCCTGGGATCTAAAGTTTTTCTTAGATTAGGAATACAGTGACACTTAACTGGGATTATGACCTGTACCTCTAATTCCAGCAGGAGGATCATGAGTTTTAGGTCAGCATGGATTACACTCCAGACCAGGATCTCAAAATCAAAAGGAGCCTGCCCTGGTGGCTCACTCTTTAATCTCAGCACTCTTGAGGGAGTGACAAGCAGATATCTGAGTTCAAGGCCAGCCTCATCTACCTAGTAGCCTAGGACAGCCAGGGATAGAGACCCTGTCTCAAAAACAAAAGAAAAAAATCACAAGTTTCAGTTGTATCAATGTTTCTTTATTGACAATTCTTACTTCTTGGGGTCACTCTGCAATATTAGCAATGCTTTTCTTCAGATCTATGTTAGGGTAGCAACCCTGACTCTATGCTATTCCTCCACAGTGTCTAATAGGTAACCTAAATAAGAGATTGAGCCGGGCGTTGATGGAGCACGCCTTTAATCCCAGCACTCGGGAGTCAGCCAGGCAGATCTGAGTTCGAGGTCAGCCTGGTTTACAGAGTGAGTTCCAGGACAGCCTACAAAACAATACAGAGAAACCCAGTCTCCAAAAACAAAACAAAACAAAAAAAATGTACTGCTGAAAGAAGTGGCTGGGATAGTTTAGTTGTTACTAACTAGCTAGTTGACCTTTGGTAAGGTTACCGATCTTATAAATTAATGACATGGATTGGTTCTTGTCTTCTATTTGTGTTTTGTTTGGTATGGCATTTTCTGAATTATCCAGGCTAGCAACAAACTAAAGCCTCTCCCATCAAACCTGCGCCCCAGGATGGTGGGCATGGAGGAGCCAATTTGTTTTTTTGTTCGTTTGATTGATTACTTTTGTTTTTTTCTTGAGATAGGGTTCTCTGTATTGCTTTGGAGGCTGTCCTGGAACTTGCTCTGTAGACCAGGCTGACCTGGAACTCGGAGATCAGTCTGCCTCTTCCTCCCAGTGCTGGGATTAAAGGCGTGCGCCACCACCACCACCCAGCCCTTTCCCTTATCTTGACAAAACAACTTTCTTTACGAGACAGGGTTTCTCTGTATTGTTTTGGAGGCTGTCGGTTCAGCCCCTCCTCGAACTCACAGAGATCCACCTGCCTCTCTGCCTCCCGAGTGCTGGGATTAAAGGCGTGCGCCACCACCGCCCGGTGACAAAACAACTTTTTAGCTTGTTTTTTTTTTTTTTTTCAAGAGACAGGGTTTCTCTGTGAAACACACCTGACTGTCCTGGCACTCACTCTTTAGACCAGGTTGGCCTGGAACTCACAGAGATCCCCTGCCTCTGCTTCCCAAATGCAGGGATTAAAGGTATGTGCCACTACTACCCAGCAGTGCCACAGTGTTTAATGTGAAGATCAGAGAACAGCTTTGGGGAAGTCATTTCTCTTAGATAATATGTGTTCTGGGAATCAAGCTCAAGTTATGTCAACAAGCTCCTCTATCTACTTAGCCAGCCATATCGGCAGCCTAACTTTCTCTTGACTAGACAAAAGTGAGGCAGAATCCTTGTATTGTATTTTATTTTTGGTGTTTTGAGGCAGGGTTTCTCTGTTGCCTCACTTTTAAGATGGCTCCGGTGATGTATTGCTGTTTCTGGGAAACCAGATAAAACACTTCAGCCAAAACTAGGCCCACCCAGGAATATCTTGAATTTAGTATTGAGACTTCTTATCTAAGATCTTCTCAAACTATCCTAAGCTTGTGTTAAATAGTTGTAATTTAACAACCCCTTCATTAAGTAACAATCTTTGACTTGTTAATCGATTGCTTGTAGCTGTAGTTGTATAGTAAAAAAATCAGTCTTGTAGCGTAATTTCACAAAAATAAAAATACTGACTTTTTGCCCATATTTTATATTTATTCTTTGACCCTGAGTTGTTTTGAGAAAGAATTTCATTATGTAGCCTTGGCAGACCTGGAATTCACTATGTAGACTAGACTGCCCTCAGATCCACCTGCCTTTGCCTCCCTAGTGCTGGGATTAAAGGCATCTGCTGTCCTGCCTGGCTTTATGTTACTATTTATCAACCCACTTTCTTTTTTTTTTTTTGAAACCACAACAAGTAAGTTTGCTGTTAATACCTTCATGAAATAAATCTTAAGCAAATATATATATATATATATATGTATACACTACTAAAAATAAAACTGCTGGGGCTCAGTTGGTAGAGTGCTTGCCTCACATAGCTGAGCCTGTGCATGTCATCTTAACATACATCACAGAAGACCCCTAACTCTTTTTTAGTTTTTCGAGACAGGGTTTCTCTGTGGCTTTGGAGGCTGTCCTGGAACTAGCTCCTGTAGACCAGGTTGGTCTTGAACTCACAGAGATCCACCTGCCTCTGCCTCCCCAGTGCTGGGATTAAAGGCATGCACCATCACTGCCGGTCGAGAAGACCCTTAACTCTTGATCTTTTGATGTTCCCTTCAAAAAAAGTCCAAAAAAAGTCATGTTATTGATTAATCAGTTTCCTGATTTTTTTTTTTAGATCTTTCTAGCAGTTACTTTCAAAAAGTGTAGTCTATAGATGTGCTTGGAGCATGGAATTTTATTTAAAGTACTGACTGATTTTTAAGTTTAATTTAAAATTTGAGATTGGACTTGGTGTACCTCAGGCTGTCCTGAGACTAAGTAGCTGAAGCAGTCCTTGAATTTCCGATCCTCCTGCCTCCTTTCTAATGGTGATTCAAGGCCTGTGCCGCTTTAGCGATAGAGATGTCCAGCTGTTTGGCTAATCCTTTATAATCTAGTCTCACTTTTAAATTTGTGAAGTAATCCATAGATATAGCTCATAGAGATAATTTAGGGCTGACCTATTGAGCCTTGCTTGTTCCTTTCCCATATCTTTTTTTTTTGTTTGTTTTTGTTTTTCGAGACAGGCTTTCTCTGTGGGTTTGGAGGCTGTCCTGGAACTCACTCTGTAGACCAAGCTGGCCTCAAACTCACCGAGATCTGCCTGCCTCTGCCTCCCTAGTGCTGGGATTAAAGGCGAGAGCCATCAACGCCCAGTCTTTTTAGTTTGTTGTTTTTCAAGAGACACACCTGACTGTCCTGGCACTGGTCTTTAAACCAGGTTGGCCTGGAACTCACAGAGATCCCCTGCCTCTGCTTCCCAAATGCAGGGATTAAAGGCAGGAGCCTCCACTAGGTGGCAAAGCAACATTTTATATGTATCATTTGTATTTGTTTACATCTTTCCCTAGGGTAAATGTAGAAATGAAGTGCTATATTGCAGGGTTATGACTGTGACTATAAATTGATATTTTCTTTGTTAGCAAAGAGGTCTTTCCTTGCTTTTTGAGTTTCAGGAGTTTCAGGAGTTGAAGTCAAGAGTCTTGCTGTGTAGGTCAGATTGGCCCTAGGGGTTTTTTGTTTTTATTTCCATTTTTGTTTTTAAGTTTTTTACCTAAGCCTTCCCAATTCTAGAATTATAGGCTTGCACCATCAACCTGGATTTTTGAATTTTTTTAAAAGATTTGTTTCCCTATTTTATGTGTTGAGTTTTTTTTTTTTTTTTTTGCCTGAGTGGGTATGTCTTATACCACCTATGTGCATAGTGTCTTCAGAGGCCAGAAGATGGTATTGAATCCCCAGGAGCTGGAGTTCCAGACCATTGTGACCACCATGTGGGTGCTGGGACCTGGGTCTTCTGCAAGAGCAACCAGTGCTCTTGAACACCAAGACTATTTCTCCCTCTTTGAGCATTCCTTTGTAGCTTGTAGCTCTTTGTGTAGGACTGATACTTTATGGTCATTCCCCTGTCTTCTTTGGCATGTATATTATAGGTGTTGTCCTCGTTCAGCTAATGTTCAGGTAGTCATATTAGTAAGACTTTATGGGTGTAACTTCTGGCATTCCTATGAGACCCAGTATCACAGCATACTCCCTGATCCTCCTCTGGTTCTTTGTGTCTTCCACCCCCTAGTCTGCAATGTTCCCTGAGCCATAGGTGAGTGAGTTGTACTGCAGTTATATCCAAAGAGACTTGGCTCCACAACTCTGCATTTTGATTGCCAATGTTTTATGTTCTTTGACACGTACATGTATGTATGCCCCTACACATGCTATTTCATGTACTTGTAGAGTATTACAGGAACATTCTACCATGCTGTGTATTTCTTTGATAAGTATTCATTTTAAAAATATACATATTGATATTTAATTTATTTGAAACAGGGTCTCTACATAGCCCTGGGTATCTTGAAACTCCTGATGTAGACCAGGCTGGCCACTTAAAATCTGCCTGCCTCTGTGCCTTCTAAGTGCTGGGATTAAAGTCCTGTGACAGTACCCTTGGCTGTTATTTTATTTTTAATTAAGTGTATGTGCGTGGAAGGGGTATGCATTTGCCTTCAGAGGCCAAAAGATGCTATTAAATCTCCTGTAGATGCAGTTACAAGCAGGTCCTTGGGAAGAACAGCAAGATCTCTTAACCAGAAACTGTATCTCCACCTCCTCTTCAAAGATAATTTCAGATTACAGCTAGCCTGGTTTTGAATTTTGGTAGTTCCCTTGCTTCAGCCTCCCTGTTGCCTTGTTGATAAGTATTCTATATCGTATTTAAATCTATTTCTAGCTTTATGATGTGGGGAGGCTGTGTGTGTATGTGTATGGAGAGAGGGAGCGGGAGAGAGAGAGAGAGAGAGAGGGAGAGAGAGAGAGAGAGAGAGAGAGAGAGAGAGCTTATTGTAGCTCATGATGAGGTAGACTCCCAGTCCCAAGATGGTATGGTTAACTGGTGGCTCACACCTGTAGTCCCAATACTAGGGAGGAAAGCAGAGACAGGATAGCTTTTAGTTTGAGGCCAGCTGGTCTGCATAACCAGTTCCATGTTAGCCAGGACTACACATCCAGACCCTGGCTCAAACAAACAAACAAGCCCACATACATACTTACATACATATGTGAGTGGGTGAGTGAATATAAAAAAACACAACCGCAGCTTAAAAGCCTTAAAGACAGTTTTTATGATCAGCCATTGTGCTGTCTTTCAAGATGAGGACAGGTGATGCAATGGTTGTCTGTTTTGCTTGTTTGGGGTGCTGACCTAGTGCATATTGTGTAAGCTCTCTACCTGCCGCAGAACTGCTGTCCAGTCCACAAATATCTACAGAGACCTTTTACTTTCCTTTTTGTGTGTGAATTCTGGGTGTCCTGGTTGGTTGGTTGTTGTTTTATTAGTTTTGTTTGTTTGTCAACACTACCTAGTATTATCTGAGAAGAGGGAACTACAATTTAGAAAATTCCTCCAAGCCTGGCCATGGCAGTGCTTTAATGCCAGCACTTGGAATGCAAAGTCAGGAAGATCTGAGTTCTAGGCTCACCTTGTCTATGTAGCTAGTTCCAGGACAGCTAGGGCTGTTACACAAGGAAACCATGGGGAGGGGGATAGAAAATATCTCCATAAAATTGGCCTGTAGGCAAGCCTGTGGGTTATTTTAATGAATGATTGTAGTGCCACCCCTGGGCTGGTGGTCCTGTCTGTTATTATAAGAAAGCAGCATGTTCTCTGAATCAGCTTCTACCTCTGTTTTCCTGGCCCTGGCTTTCCTCACTGATGGATGGGCTGTTGTTAACCTAGGAGTATAAGAAACAAATGCTTTTATCTCCAAGTTGCTTCCGATGGTTTGTTTTCAGATAATTTATTTAGTTTATGTGCATTAGCATTTTTTTTTGGTCTGCATGTGTGTAACCCATGTGTGTGCTAGTGTCCATGGAGATCAGAGGAGGGTTTTGGATTCCCTGAAACTGTATTTATGGATGGTTGTGAGCTGCCTTGTGTATGCTCGGAACTGAATCCTGGGAGCTGAACCAGGGTCTTCTTTAAAAGCAACAAGTGCTCTTAACCACTCACTGAGTCATTTTTGTAGCCTCCAGTAATGGTTTTCTACATCAATAGAATCCCTAGCAGAGATATATACTCAGTATAATCTATTGCAGTTGCCAAACCTGTTTGTTTCCTAGAAGTAGTTTGAAGTCTTAACCCATTTTCTAAATGTTTCTTGGTGAATGTATTATTTATATAGAATAATTTATCCTATTACAAAAGGAGTTGAGGGCTCGGACTGTAACTTGGTAGAACACTTGCCTTCCCATTCATGTGCTAAAAAACAAAGAACAAGAAAGCACATAGAGCAGAATTTTTCTTAGAAGTTACAGTTTTATGTTGTATTTTCTTTTTTTCGAGACGGGTTTTCTCTGTATTGTTTTGGAGGCTGTTCTGGAACTAGCTCTGTAGACCAGGCTGGCCTCAAACTCACAGAGATCTGCCTGCCTCTGCCTCCCGAGTGCTGGGATTAAAGGCATGTGCCACCAACGCCTGGCTTTTCTTTGCTTTTTTTTTTTTGTTTTTGTTTTTGTTTTTTTTTTGTTTTTTGTTTTTGTTTTTCGAGACAGGGTTTCTCTGTGGCTTTGGAGGCTGTCCTGGAACTCTCTTGGTAGTCCAGGCTGGTCTCGAACTCACAGAGATCCGCCTGCCTCTGCCTCCCGAGTGCTGGGATTAAAGGCATGTGCCACCAACGCCCGGCTTTTTCTTTGCTTTTAAGACAGGGTTTCTTAACTGTCTAGAACTCACTTTATAAACCATGCTGTCCTTAAACCCAGAGATCTGCCTGCCTTTGTTTTCTGAGTGCTAGGACACACTCTGTCTGTCTGTCTGTCTGTCTGTCTGTCTGTCTGTCTGTCTGTCTGTCTCTCCTCCCTCTCTCTAAGCCTGTCTCTCCCACCCCCCACCCCAGATAGGGTTTCTCTGTGTAATAGTCCTGGCACTCTTTTTTTTTTTTAATTTTTATTATGTATGCATATAGTGTTCTATGCTTGGACACCAGAAGAGGGCACCAGATCTCATTACAGATGGTTGTGAGCCATCATGTGGTTGCTGGGAATTGAACTCAGGTCCTCTGGAAGAGCAGGCAGTGCTCTTAACTGCTGAGCCATCTCTCCAGCCCCCCTGGAACTCTTTTTGAAGACTAGGCTGACCTCAAACTCATAGAGATCTGCCTCCGCCTCCCAAATGCTGGGATCAAAGGCTTGGGCCACCACCATCAGGCCTGTATTTTCTTAATAAAAGGATTGGTCTGCCAGCTTAGTGTGAATTAGTATTTTCCAAATTTTTTTCTTTCTTTGTTTTTGCAAAACAGGGTTTATCTGTGTAGCCCAAATGTCAGATCTGCTTGCCTCTGCCTCCCAAAAAGCACCTACAGCCCTGCTAGTATTTTCTACTTTTTAAATGTGGATAGATAACATTGAATTTGCATATTATAGTTGCATATTAGGAATTTGAGTACCAGAAAACTTGAATTTTGTTGTGATGACTGCTAACTTGTCAAAATTGAATAATACTTATTTTGCTAAATATATTAAATGAAATGGTTGTAAAAGCAATTATATATATATAAAACTGTTTTGTTTTTGTTTTTTAGAGCTCAGCTCCCCAAAAATTGTAAAAGCGGGAAAACTCAAGACAAAGAAATCCAACAAGGTATGCCTTTATAGGATGTATTTTTAAAATGTATTGATTTTGAAAATAATTTAGAAAGGGTTCTGGTTTGAAGTCTGATCATAAGACCATTGAATTTTTACTTCAAAATGTTTGAGAAATATTTGAATTAACTTGCCAAGTCTACATATAAGTAAATAGAGGTGATTTTTAAATTACTATCACTTTATTCGATTTGGCTATTACTTTTTTCCCCCTTTGGTTGAGACAGGGTCTTATTGTGTAGACAGGCTGACCTGGAACCACAGAGATCCACCTGCTTCTGCCTCCAGGGTGCTGGGATCAAAACATGTTGGCACAAGAGCCCTGGCGGTATCATTGTAGCCCACATTAGCTTTTTGTGCCCATGGTTGATCTTGAATTCCTATTTCTCCTACTTCTAAGTGCTCCAGATTGCTGGCATGTACCACCATGCCTGGCAACCAAAATGACGTTTAGAAATGTCTTTTTCTGTCTAAAAATTCTAAAAATCATTTTCAATTATAACAATTATTTTATTACCTTTTAGGCTAGTGACTTCAGTGATATGGCAAACTGGCCAACACCAGGTGAACTAGTGAATACAGGGGTAAGTACTTATTTAAGTCTATTTTAAAAAGAAAATTCTTATTTCAGTATTTTTGCTGTATTAGGTGTATTTCAACATATAGTTCATCAGTAGGATTATTTTTACTTGAAACATTCTTTGCTCCATAGTATTAGTAATGAATTTAGTGCCTTAACATTTATTCAGAGTACATTTTACCTTTTTTGTAATAATGATCTCATATGTTTTAATGAATCAATTATTTTATATGATTATATGCCTTGATAAGATGATTAAAAACTTGACAGCTATCCTTTTTAGTATTTTATTCATTTATAAGATACTACTTTCATTTTCATTTCCCTGCTTGACTATATCCCCAGGTGTTAGGGTAAGGTATTTGCATTTCTGTGTGCCTTTTTTTTTTTAACAAAAATGATTAAATTTTATTTTTGACTTAAAATTTTATTTATTTAATGTATGAGTTTTTTGAGTGTATGGGCATCATGCATACTTGATGTTTGTGGAGATCAGGACCATAATTACAGGTGGCTGTGAGAAATTGGGTTCTGGGAATTGACTCAGGTACTTTGAAAGAGCAACATGCGCTCTTAATTGCTGAGCACTTATTGTTAGATGAAGGAGGTTGGTATTTTTATGTTTTTTTGAGACAGGGTTTCTCTGTAGCTTTGGAGCCTGTCCTGGAACTCCATCTGTAGACCAGGCTGGCCTCGAACTCAGAGGTCTGCCTGCTTCTGCCTATAGAGTGCTTGAATTAAAGGTGTGAGCCACCACTACCCAGTGCAAGTAAACTCATCGTATCACCACAACAGAAAAAATGAGCTTGGCTCCTGCCTGCAAATGTTGCAGTCATACCCACTAACCTTTTTGTATTTTCTGTGTATGTGGAATAGTGTAGGAGGCACTGTTGTTTCTGTCTTACTTAGTACTGTTATCTTGAGATTTTTCCATGTTATGCATGTCAGTGATATTTCAACTTATGGTTGTAATGTAATTATGGGCCTTACATTAGCTATGAGGCCAGCTTGGTCTACAGAGTGTTACAGGACAGCAAATTCTACACAAAGAAACTCTGTCTCAACAAAAAAACAAGAAAAAAAAATGAAAGAAAAGAAACTGCCAAGATTTCACTCCCAATGGTGGTGTCTAAGAATTCCTGTTAGTTCACAGCCTCAGTAACTCTTAATTTGATCAGTTTGTAAAACTTGTTGTCATTGTAGTAAATACATGGTTAATTTGCATTTCTTAGACTAGTGGTGACAGCATAGAATTAATGTGTATTAGTGAAATTGGGGATCTAACCCAGTACCTCATACGTACTATACAAGTGCCCTACCCTTCCAGAGTTTTAATTTTGCTTATTTACTTTCTCATTTGTTTAGCAACATTTATTATCGATGCTGATTTTTTTAGCGAGATGTTAATGGAAATGATTCTATTCAGAACACTTTTTTTTCTCAGTCTCAGAGTGTTAGCAGTCAAGGAAATAAGAAGCCACAATTTAGAAAAGAAAAAGAAGAGAAGATTGAAAAAAGAAGCAACAGTGAAAGCAAAGAGAACCGGGAAGCAAAACTAGATGGTCCTGTTGAGAACGTCAGTGAGGATGAGGCTCAGTCCAGCAGCCAGCGGAAGAGAGGTCAGCATGGTGATGGACTGTGTTAGCTAACTGTTCTCTGTCATCACCTGCAGCAGCAGCACCTGATTTGGCCTGTTTGACCTTCTGTTCTGACCCCTCCCTCATTTATCTATCTATCCATCTATCTATCTCTATCTATCTATCTATTTTTTTATTTATTTATTGTGCAGTTAAGATATATATATATATGTATATATATATGTATATATATATATATGTTGATTTGTTGAGACAGGGTTTCTGTGTAGCAGTACTGCTTAAACTATAGTCTGTACCAAAAAAATGGAATGAAATTCCTTATAGTTATTCTTGTGGATTTTCTTAGAAAGTTATGTAATGCCATTGTTACTTTAAATTTACATCAAAATTGTTTCCTGCTTCTTAGAGAATTCTGAGAAAATAAATCTTTTTTTAATTTAAAAACATTTTTATTTTATGAGACCAGGTGTTGGTGGCGCATGCCTTTAGTCCCAGCTCTCCAGAGTCAGAGGCAGGTGGATCTCTGTTAGCTCGAGGCCAGCCTGGTCAGAGTGAGTTCCAGGACAGGCTCCAAAGCAATACAGAGAAACCTTGTCTCCAAAACCAAACAAATTTATTTTATGTACATAGGTGTTTTTTCTGCATGTATATCTGTGTAAGGGAAGTTGGGTCCCAACAATTGGAATTAAGACAGTTGTCAGCTGCCATGTGGGTGCTGGAATCAAACGGTCCTCTGCGAGAGCAGTCAACACTCTTAACCATAGAGCCATCTCTCTAGCCTGGTTTCTTTTTCCTTTTTTTTTTTTTTAAGATTTATTTATTTATACAACATCCTGCCTCCATGTATGTCTGCACACCAGAAGAGGGCACCAGATCTCATTATGGATGGTTGTGAGCCACCATGTGGTTGCTGGGAATTGAACTCAGGACCTCTGGAAGAACAGTCAGTGCTCTTAACCTCTGAGCCATCTCTCCAGCCCCTCTTTTTCTTTTTCCTTTTCCTTTTTGTCTTTCAAGACAGGGCTTCTCTCCGAAACTGTCTACAGAGCAAGGTCCAGAGCTACATAATGAAACCCAGTCTTGGGGAAAAAGGAATTAACATCACAACCGCTTTCTTTTCTTAGATTTTTGGTGTGTATCTCAGGATAGTCTGGAACTTGAAATCCTCCTTCCTCAGCCTTTCAGATGCTAGAATTATAGGCATCATGAGCCACATTTCCTAGGTTCTCTCATCTTCATTGTATCTGTAGCAGCATAATATAATAACTGTAAAGATTATTGTGGCAGAGAGGAAACACCTATGCTTATTCCTTGAATGCTTTGAGAAACCACTTGGTAATAATACTAGACAAATGATTATTACTTCAGACAGTGTTCTAAAACCAAAGTCCCTGGTTTTGTTTGGGATTTTGTGTGTGGTATGTGGATGTGGATGTGTCTATTTATAAAGGCCAGTTGCTCTCTGTCTTATTTGAGATGGGTTCTCTTACTGAACCTGAAACTTGCTGACCAGCAAGCCCCGGCAGTCCTCCTGTCTCAGCCTCCTCAGCCTTGAGTGTTAGCATCATAGGCTTTGCTCTGCTGTGTCTGCTGGGGGTGAAGCTCAGGTCCTGGTGCTTGGCCAGCTAGTGTTTACTAATGAACTCATCTTCCCAGTCTCTGAGGTATTTGTTTGATTTGTTTTTAATTGCTGGCTTTTCACTTGCTATTATTTCTCTTGGAATATTTCTACAAACTTATCAAGGATCAGTCTATAAGTATGATAAAGGGTTATTTTGGTAACCTGCAGATAATCCATTTAAAGGCAGCTGAATCTTGAAAAATTCAGAGTGCTTTCAGAAGTGCAGAGCTTTAATAAAAATTGTACATTGTCATGAGATTATTTTGTTTTTTTTTCTTCAAGCCAATAAGCACAAATGGGTACCACTCCACTTGGATGATGTGAGACCAGACAGCCAGGAAAGACCTGGATCCCGGAACAGCTCTAGATGTCAACCGGAAGCAAATAAACCAGCTCACAGTAATAGGAAAAGTGATACACGAAGTAAGTGTTATTTTAAGAGTGCCATGAAATTGGAATGAACATAGCTTTAGTGCTTATCACTGGAGCTTTACAGAGTAAACTGCAGATGCATCCATCTCTAACCCTACATGGACCCTTCAGAAGACATATCTAAAGAATAGTGCAATTATGGCACTTAAAACAAATCCAATTCCTCTTGTTCTTCATGTGTTTTATCAGGATTTGTGTGTGTCTACTTTCAGTTTCTCCTTTCTTTAAACAAATGCCTTTCACTTAAATGGTAGTATTTCTTCCCTACCTGTCTTGTGGAAAGTATTTTTAAAGGACTTTTACATGTAAATTCAGTAACCTTAGAGAACTGTGATTATGTATTATGCACATTCTTTGCAGAGGACCTCTTTGTCTTTATGTATCATTTACTTACTTTCTATGCCCAGTGTACTCCTTATCCCCACCTACTTATTAATAGTCCCCATGGATTTCTTACTATGTTTAAAGATAACATGACTATTATCAAGTAGTGTAAAAATGGGAGAGAAGTCTTAGGCAGGAAGATCTTGGAGTTCAGGCCAGCATGAACTTAATAGTGACACTATTTCAAAACCCACAAAGGGGAGCCAGGTCCCTGGTGGTTAATGCTTTTAATCCCATCACTTGGGAGACAACTTTCTGAATTCAATGCCAGCCCCAGATACTGAGACCTTGTCTGAAAGAAAAAGGGTAAGGGATGCCTATGATCAAAATACATTGTAAACGCATATGAAACTATCAAAAAATAAAAGAATTTAAAGATCCAAGGAGAAAAAGGTAATTATTGTCTTTTCATAGAGGTAATCCTATAATTCTATTGTAATTTTTATTTTAAGGTTGGAGACGGGATAGAGAAAAGAGAGATGACCAAGATGAAGTATCCAGTGTGAGAAGTGAGGGTGGTACCATCCGAGGTTCTGCAAGAGGCCGGGGAAGAGGCCGGGGCCGGGGAAGAGGCCGAGGTCGAGGAAACCCTAGATGTATGACATGAGATTTTTTTTTTCCTCTGTTGGATGAGCTTTGAAAAATGTTAGCAAATGTTCTAATTCTTCGTATTACCCTCTATTTTGTTAGTTTTTTATATTGTTTTTTGTGTGTATGTTTAGGTGAGTATGCCATGGTGTGCAGAATTGCTTCTCTCTGCCATGTGTGACACAGGGACTATACTCAGGGCATTGGGCTTGGTGGCATGGGCCTTTACTTGCCGAGTCATATACTGGCCCCTTTGCACAATGTTTCTGTTATTTTGGTTTGACAGTAAATTTGGTTTTGTGAAGTTCTTTGTTTTGGATTTCTCTTTACAGTTATGGCTTACTTGTTTTTTAACTTGTGATCTCCTTTCTTTTACTCTGTGTCCAGTGAACTTTGACTATTCATATGGTTATCGAGAGCCTGGGGAAAGAACTGATCAACCATTTCCCACAGAGCTTAGCACCAGTATGATGTATTACTACGATGATGGCACAGGTGTGCATGTATATCCTGTGGAGGAAACACTGCTTAAAGAGTACATTAAGCGCCAAATGTAAGTTGATGAAGACAGAGAGGGCAGTAAAGTCTGTTTCTGCAGCAAACTTTTGTCTTTGACTATTATCATATTTCTAAAACTACAATAAGAAAAAAATAAATAAGAATATTTTTTTCTAGGAGACAATGACAAAAAACATCCATAAATTTTCTCCATGGTCTTGTTATTTTCCTAAGACTACTTAAAATATCATTGCATAGGCCAGGCGGTGGTGGCACATGCCTTTAATACTAGCACTCAGGAGGCAGAGGCATGTGGATCGCTGTGAGTTCGAGGCCAGCCTGTTCTACAAAACCACACAGAGAAACTCTGTCTCAAAAAACCAAATATATGTGTGTGTGTGTCATTGCATAATAAGTAAAATATCAAAAAAAGACTATAAAACTTCTACATATTATTTGAAATTAAGTAAAATGTGTCTCATTTACAAATATATGTTTATATTAAAATTTGTGTGTGGTGGTACATGCCTATAATTCCAGTACTGGGTAGCTGAAGCAGAATTGCTGAGTTCAAAACTAGCTTGAGACACAGACCAAAACCCTGTCTCATAAAAAATAACAATAATAACACTTGGCAAATGATAAAAATGGTGCCCAATGTCTTTTAATTTTTCATAGCAACTGATTTCTGCATTGTCTGTTTTTATCTTTTTTTTTTTTTTTTTGGTTTTTTACGAGACAGGGGTTCTCTGTATTGTTTTGGAGGGTCCAGCCCGGCCTTGAACTCACAGAGATTCGCCTGCCTCTGCCTCCGAGTGCTGGGATTAAAGGCATGCGCCACTACCGCCCGGCGTTTTTATAATCTTTTAAACTCTTTCACTTATGTTATTATTTCTTTGTGATACCTATTAAATGGATGTTTTAGTTCAGACCTTAGTTCTCCATAATAGTTGTTTTCTAGCCCTCTTCTTGTTTTAAATATGCATTTTGAGTATTTGGATAATGTGTTTTTAATGATTGAAAAAAGTGATTTGTGTAACAAAATAAGATAAAATCTTAATTATTTTTCTATCTTGCATGGTAAAGGAAAATGGGCTCTTTTTGAGAAGGCATAAGCATTTATAAACAACCATTTTTATAAAAAAGCAACTGGATCTCCTGTGTGACTAGAAATTAATTTCTTCTTTGGTGTCAGCCAGAGACCTCTGATAGCCTTGGTGGTAGATGTGATGGCCTCTACCTCAGTGCAGAGCAACTTGTTTCTTTTGTTCTTGCTTCCTTTTAAGGTTGACACAAAACTTAGAAGTGCCTGTCAACTTCATATCATTTTTCCTGTTGTTCGTCTTCCTCCTCCTCCTCCTCCTTTTTTTTTTTTTTGTAACTCTTACTGCTAGGTCCCCTCTGAGACCTGACAGTGAAAAAACATGCAACTCCTTGTCAGGATATTTGGCCTCCGTTATGCTCATACAAGCGAGGGAGGAGCAGAGCTACTTCCTTGTTGACAGTCTCTGGTCATGCAGTATAGAATGCAGAGTATAGTATGTCCAAAAAGACTCCGAGCAAAATGTCAGACATTAGTCATGACTCCTTTTTGTTGTCTCAGATTTCAAGCAGGGTTTTGGTAGATACCAGTGGAGGATCACTCAGGGAAGCTGGGGTGTCACAAGGAAAGCTGGTTCACACTCTGCTCAGTGGAGCTGTGGTTTTGAGTAGCTGCTCTTTAGATTTTGTGTTTCTAGTCTAGTACTTAGAGAAGTGATCTATTTGGGTTTGGATTTTTTTCTAAGTTTTCATTATACTTTGCTAAATATGTTTTTACTAGTACCACACTCTAACCAACTAAGAAAACTAGGTAGTTGAAATAAATTTTAAAGTAATATGCTTCACAAATCCTAATGAGTAGTCTCAATCACTTTAAATAAACATTTTTATATCAATAATACATTTTAAGTTATTTTAATTTATTTTTCCTTTTGTGATAGGCACTCATGGAGTCAAGGCTTGCTTCAAACTCATGATCCTTCCCAAGTGCTAGCTAGTCACTACACTGGGTTAAATTTTAACCCTGATTATTATTTGGAGGGGACAGTCTCTTGTTAGACAGATCTACAGATTTTCATGGTTTTAACACAGCATAGACTATAGCTAATAGTGATTTGTTGATTTACTTACATAGTTTGATCTTCACTTTTTTTTTTTGTTTTTTTGCTTGTTTGTTTTTTGAGACAGGATTTTTCTGATTTATTTTAGAGCCTGTCCTGGAATGGTCTTCACATTTAAAGGGGAGATTATTACTGATTTAAGGAATTTTTATGGAAGTACAATTTTAACTTGTGACTCCATCAATGTCTAGTATACTGTCCCAGGTTTCATATTCTCACACATTTCAAGATTCTGAGGCATTGTGATCAGGCAATAAACATCAGAATGTACAACTTTGATTTTTTTCATTACTTAACAGTAAATGTTGCTGAGATGCCAGTAAAATAGCTTTTATGAGAATTTTTCACTGTGACTGAATATCACACAAGACAAATTTAGACGTCCTGTGTTTAAAAAGTAAGATAATTTTCCCCCTCCCACAAGTGAAATGTTACCCCAAACTAGTCATTATTTAGAGGTGTTTATTTCTTCCAGGTTAGAATTTGCCCTAAGGACCTTAAGGTTACTTATTAATGGAGTTTTAAGATATGTGAAGTTGTGTGTGTTCTCCTAACTTGCTGCTTCCTGAACTTCCTCTGGGATTGAAATTGTAGGATTGAAATTGTAGGATTGGCAGCTGTGCTATGTCACCTATTTATCCTGTCTGGGATTCTGATCTTTGTCTTTAGAATCCTACTTTCATTTTATTATATAGATGCTATACTTTAAATGTATGATTTACAAATTCTTTTATTAAATTTTTTTTTCTTTTGGGACTTTTTTATGACCTATTTTTTATCTTTGGTCATACTGTGACCATTTATGTTGTGTCTGGGGAAAGGTTATGTGGTTAACTTAGATAATCCTGAGTTATCTAAGCATTGTCTGTATTTTTTTTTTTTTACTCCATGGACTTGGAGTCATTGATATTTCTTTCTTAGCTACATTATATTCATTCTTCCCTTTGAGGATCAAATCCCCGGCTTCTGGAAACTATGCATGATTGAGGGCATATAAATGTAATTGTGTTGTCATGTTCTTTATTTAGTGTGTGCTGGTTGCTAAGGGTCCAAATAATGTCATCCTGTTGTCAGTTTAGGTTAAAAAAACAAAAATGAAGTTACTTATGTTTGAGTATGAACCTACTAAAGACATTCTCAAGTGTACTATTCTTCCAAGTGATTAGGCTTTGCTATTTAGTATTTAAATGAAGCAAGGAGAGGTGGCTTTGTAATGTAATCTCTCAGTGAATGAATGACTCTTGAAAATCCATCGTGTATAGGGCTGGATTTCAAAGAACAACATAAACAAATGGATTTAAAAACTAGCTTTTAATTTGTTAGACTTAAGTGATGTTTTTGATTCTGTGTAAGAGAAATTGTCAATTTAGCAGGGTTTTTCTTGGTCTCACATTTGTACTGTACTATGTTATACTATGTGTGTTTTGCCTAACTTGTAAGATAGTATTATTAACCAGAGAAGAATATTTTTGGTAGCAGTTGTTTTAAGCAGTGCACAAATCTCTCTGTTGCCAAATGAGTGGATGAACTCATGTCTTCTCCTTTCTTAGTGAGTATTACTTCAGCACAGAGAACTTGGAGCGGGACTTCTTTCTTCGCAGAAAGATGGATGAGCAGGGATTCCTGCCCATTTCCCTGATTGCTGGTTTTCACCGTGTACAAGCTCTTACCACAAACCTTAATCTCATCTTAGAGGTAAGTATTCATTTAAAGGAGAATCTGAGTTGTATTCCATTTTCCTGGGAACATAAAAAATAGTGTTAAAAAGACAAGTGGACACTTGAGTGGCAGAACATTTGGCCGATGTGTGTGAGGTCCTGGAGTCACAAAAAACTCCCCAAAAACAAAAGAAAGAAAAAGGGGGCTGCTAAGATGGCTCCATGAGTAGGGGTGCTTGCTGCTAACCCTGAAGACCTGTGAAAAGCAACTCCTGCAAGTTGGCCTCTGACTCTACATATACACCACGGCATTTGTAAAGCCACACTTTGTACAGTGTGTGAATACATACACACATACATACACATACTGGGTAAGTATTTTTAAAAGTATGCTGATTGTGGTATTTACTAAGACTCACTTTTAGAAAGTTCAAGCCTAAGCTACACAGCAAGACCTTGTCTCAAAATTATCCAGCCAGAGAGAGAGAGAGAGAGAGGCGGTCAGAGGACAACTTGTAGGAATTGGTGCTCTCCCACCATGTGGGCTCCAGGGACTAAATTCTTAGCAGGTGTCTTTACCAGCTAACTTAGCTCATTAACTCAGTTTTTTCTTCTTTTTCTCTTATTCCTCTTTCCTTTTTCTCTTCTTCTTTCTCCTCTGTTCTTCTTCTGAGACAAGAAACTATAGGTGGCCTTGAATTCACAGATCTGCCTGTCTCTGCCTCCTGATTGCTTAGATTAAAGGTGTGCTTCACCACCCATTTTTTTCATTTTTTCTTCTTAATATCTGTATCATGAAAAGTACCCAGTTGATTAGCTAGCCAGAGAGAACTTTGAGTACCGCAAAATATTGCACACAGGTTCTCTTTTAGGTTAAGATTATCAAGCTTTAGGATTTATAAAAAATATCAGGATTTTTTAGATCTTTACCTGAACTTTTTACATATAGTTCCTCTCTTTAGAATTTTGTTTGCTTGTTTAACACAAGGTCGTAATTCTCCTACCTCGGCATCTTTAGTGCTGAGATTATGGGCATGTACCATCATGCCTGGCCCTTAGAATAGATATATTTTTAAATAATTTTTAGAAGGCATGAATAATGAAAAGTTAATAACTTTTCAGTTTGATTTCCCCTGTTGATTTTGCTAATGACAGAATGTAAAGCCTTGTGGTACCACAGACTGTGTTCTACACAGGGAATAAATTTCACAGAATCTGTAACAAACAGATTTTGTCTCATCTTTGGCCAGTAATCAGTCAGTTGTTTTCTTGTTGACAGTCAGTGTGATTTTGTTTTGTTTTGTTTTTGTGCATTCTTCTTGAGATAGAGTCTTGTATAGCCCAGGCTTGACATAACTCATATCAAATTGTAATTTTGGATAATCTTCATCTCTTCATTCTCTTGCCTCTACCTCCTGAGTGCTGGGATTACAGGGATGCTTCACTATTCCTGTTTTTTCCAGGGTACTTGTGATCAAACCCAGGACATATGTCATGCTAGGGAAGTACTATTGTAAGTGAGCTATTTCTTAGTCTCTTGTATTTACTTACTAGTTTTTGACACCCCAGAACTGGTTTCATATGGCCCAGCTTAGCCTCAAGCTCACTGTGTAGCCTACAATGACTTTGAGAACTTCATCTATCTCCATTTATTGCCATTTATTTTTGTTGTTGTTTTTTTGTTTTTGTTTTTGAGACTGAGTCTTAATATGTTATTAGCCATGGCCAGCCCAGAGCTTGCTGTGTGGGTCAAGCTGGCCCCAAACTTGGCGCAATCCTCTTGCGTCTGCCTCCTGATCACTGGGACTACAAGCATGGGCCAATATGCCCAACAAATTTGTTCTATTCCTAACACTAATTCATGGATGTTTTTCGACACATTAACTGTATTTACAGTCTACTAACTCTAAGTTTTGTAATTTTTAGATTAGAAATATAAGGCATACAACTAAGACTTTTGGATGTCACTTTAATAGCTTAAATTGTCTATTTTCAGGCACTGAAGGATAGCACAGAAGTAGAAATTGTGGATGAGAAAATGAGGAAAAGGATAGAACCAGAAAAATGGCCAATCCCAGGCCCTCCTCCACGAAATGTGTCACAAACAGACTTTTCTCAGTTGATTGATTGTCCAGAGTTCATACCAGGCCAGGCCTTTGGCTCCCATACAGGTAACTGCTTTTCTTCTAGTGCAAACAGTGTAACAGTGGGCTGCTTGATGAGTTTGCCTATCTGTTTGTTAGTTTACTGAGCTTTCCTGGGAAAGCTAAAGTTAATTAAATGACTGCTGGTCTTCCCAATATTACTCATGTTATCTTCCAGCTAGACTATAATTATGCATAATCATAGGTAAAGCTCTATTGCTGTTTCTTGATGTTGGATTGTGTGTGTGTTGTCTTTTGTGGCCTTTCTTCCTATCTTTTAATTCTACTAAATGACTATATATTGCCACTTTTCTCCATGTAAAACTGAAAGAGCCAAAATTTGTGCTCTAATGTGGGCCTTCCTTTATTTTTGTTAATAATGTACTTTAATCTTGTTTTGAAGATATAACCCATATTCTAAAATAGAGTTGTGATTTTCTTTAACCTGGTTCTTTTGAGTTTCCAAAAACTACATTAGTGTTAAGAATTTTTTTTTGCCTGGTTCATTTTAAAGATAATTGCTCTTGGGAAAAATATGTGTGCTTAACCTTTTTTCAGTCAGGGTGATGATCTACTGATGCTCTTGGATGTCATATGATCGGAATGTACAGTGGAGTAGGTGACTCCCTGAAATACCATGTAAATATGAGAGCAAATCGTGCTGCAGAAGTGAGAGTGACCATACTGTCTTCTGTGCAAGAATGTCTACGCCCACCCCCTTGTGGAGAAGGTTGGGCCAGCCTGCAGTGGAGATAACCACCTTTACGATAATGATGTGAGACAGACCAGAGGACTGCTGTTGTTACTGTAGGAGCTTCTCCTTTCTATGTCATTAGCTTAGGCTGCACGGGCTACTTCATTCGTGGTGGGAAAGTTAATTGTTATCATTGGGGAAATACTGCAAATTCTATCTTTTGTTTCCAGGCATTTATACTTTGCCCAGATCAATAAAGCAGAAAAAGAGAGGATTGAGTAGCATTTCCAAAATTGTTAGGTCCTTTGCTATTTGACTTGCTCTTTAATATAGTATACTTTGCATAACTCACATGTTGTCATATTTCACATGTACTATAAGATGTATTAATGTGAATACTTAAGGGGTAAGAAATTTAAGTTAAATAAATAAGGGCATTTTTCCTTTATGCTTCATTATTTAAGGGCTTTTCTTTTTATTTTATTTATTATTGTATGTATATGATACGTGTGTTTGAGTGTGGGCACATGTGTCCTGTGGTGTGTGTGTGTGCAGAAGTAAGAGGACAACTTTTGAGAGTTGGTTCTTTATTTCCACTGTGGAATTCAGGTATTAAACTCAGGTGATCAGATTTGCATAGCAAGTGCCCTTACCTTCTGAGCCGGGTGGCTGACTTGAAAATTGTATTTCATACATTGGCATGAAAGCTTACCTATGCACTTCATCATGAACCAGAACAAACCCTTCTTGTCAGGAATTTGGTCACAGCAATGAGAAAAGTAGCTAATAAAGAAGGTTGGTACCAAGAAGTAAGAGCTGTTGCCATGACAGTCCTGACCATGTGGCTTGTAGACATTTGGAACTGGTTCTTAGAAGTAATGTGAGAGACTTTAAGCTATAGGCTAGAGAAATCTTAGGATGCTGTAAGTAGAACTCAGAGGGCCACTCTGATTGGCTTATCTAGAACACCAGTATGTTAATGAAAGGATAGAAAGTGACCATGTGCTGAGTGGCTTTCAGAGAGGGGGCAAGGAGTTTGGGGAAGCTGAGCTAAAAGCTTTTTGTGTTTTCTTCAGTATCAGGGTACTCTGCCCATTCCTGAAGATGTAAGTCATAGAGTGATTTGCAGTTTGTTTGGCAGAGGCAGTTTTAAGACAGCATTATGTTTAGGCTGAGGCTGCTCTTATTCAGGTCTATAGCAGGAGAAAGCAGAATGACTGGAAATTGTACAGTTTGGGGAAGAAAGGAGTGCGCTGTCTCCAGTTGCCAGCAAGCAGGTTGCACACAAAGTTTTTGTAATTTTTAGTGCCAAAAAGAGGTATCTTAAACAATCTTCACTAAGACAGGACCTGTTCCCTAAGGGAAAACCTGTGGAAGTCTCTAACTTGTAAATGGGAATTGTTTTGAAAAAAGAGAGCTGGAGACTGAGACTGAAGGGGTGCCTGCTATGGAAACAGACTCCTAGGAGAAATGTTTCCCAGGTTTGGTAGCCAAGTTGTACAACGGCCAGTTACAGCAGTGATAGAAGGAGTCCAGACAACACCTCAGTCTGGAAGTAGAACTTGAATGCTTCATTCACTTCATGCTCCATGAATTACAGAGTCATGGAGGTTTACACCAGAAGCTGCTGTGTGGTGTAGGAGATTCAGTGAGGGTCAAGTTACAGAGTAGACTTCCAGGCAGTTGGAAACTCAAGAATTGTTGGACATCTTTCACGGAAACTGGAGGACTAGAGCTATCCCATGAGAGAGGCTGTATATTGCTACAAGTGTCAAAATTGGAGGACTGCAGTAGCTCATGGCCATTGGAGCCCAGATGATAGTTTCACAAGCCCCAGATGCTGAACATGGAGCTTCAAGGTTTAGTATTTACCTGCCAGAGTTAGGTCTTCCTTCGACACAATCTTCCCTTGCTGTACCCCATTCCTCTCTGTTGGAATGGGGATGTTTACTCTGTACCATTGTACATTGGAAGTATGTAACTTGTTTCCTGAAATTATAGAGTTTGCCTTGCATCTCAGAAGAGACTTTGGACACTTGAACACTGATGGGACAGTTAAAGACTATGGGACTTTTGAAGTCAGACTGAATTCATTTTGCTTTGAGTTCATGGGGGTCAGAGATGAAATGTATTGGTTTAAAAGTGATTTGGTTGAGATTCAAGGTGACAAGGAGGAGTGTACTTGTGGTTATCAACCTTCACTTGACTGGATATGTCTATGAGGGCATTTCCAGAGAGGTTTAACTGAAGAGGGAAGACCCATCCTAAACATGAGCTGGGTTCTTAGCCTGAGCACCAGCATTCATCTCTCTGTGCTTCCTGACTGCAGATGCAGTGTGACCAGCCACCTCATGTTCCCATCACCATGAGTTCTCTGCCATCATGGACTCTACCACTCAAACTGTGAGCCAAAATAAATCCTTCTTCCCTTAAGTTGCTTCTTGTCAGATGTTTTGTTGTAGTGACAAGAAAGGTAGCTAAATATACTGCCTATCAGTGAACAGTGATGGATCATTTCTCTTTGAAACCAAACCTTTGTTCCTTTTAAATACCCAACATGACCTAATTAATTCCGTTATAAAGATATTTTAATTATAATTACAAAGTATGCATAGAATTTCTTACTTGTTGTTACCCAGAACTAGTTTCTATGCAATCTAAAAGTTTCAGACATTTTGTACCCCCAAGGTTTTATAACTCTGCATATCTTTCATAGCAGTATTTTTCTCTTTGTAATAACTAGGATATATTTTAAAGAGAAGTGAAATTTAGGTTTATATTCTTAAAGATTTAACAAATAACAAAATAAAGATTTGTTGCGTAAACTTGGGATCCTTTTTAACTATCTCAGGAACAATTAGTTGGGAAGTTGGGAAATATAGAAAATACTTTTTTTCCATAAGATAGTTGTAACCTTAGAGTTTAAGATAATATTTCTAACCAGCTTGTGAACACTTAATTGGGAATGTTGGACAATATACAAAATATTTTTTTCTACAAGATAGCTAAGATAGGTCAATCAAGTTGGAGATACCATTAATTGTTTATGCATTATTAAAAATTGCAAGAATAAAATAAGTTTTGTACTTGACAAACTTTCATATTCATATAAATAAGTCAATATAAATGTCACATAGTATCAGATTCTTTAGAATCATGCTAACTCACATTTTGTCTACCACCATTACCTCTGAATCTTCTCATTCTGATCTTGCTAGTCTATTTGTAGACTGCTCAGAGAAGTATACACTGGAGAAGAAATAAGGTAGGAAGTATAGACAGTTCCAAGGTATAGTTCTTATGTAACTAGATGAAGTAAAGAAGTGAAGGTTTTATCTAATACCCTTTAATCCCAAATTATAGTATCTTTATAACTTTTTGTTATATTTTCTGTGCCATTTGTATCCTTTTCATCACAGAAATGTAAATATCTACTTTTTCCTCTTTGGAGGTTGAATTGTGTAACATGGGTTGGCATTGCCAATGAGCAGAAGATCTTAATCACCACAAAAGGTTGATTATGAGACTGGTAAGATGACTTCTGGAATGCAGGGTTTGCTGTGGGTGTGGTGTACTGTCAGCTCCTGAGGTGTGGAAGGGCCTAATGGCTACTGAATAGGCTATGGGACAGTGAGGGAGAAAGCCACACTAGACCAAAGCATACATTTGTCTTTGGAGAGCCAGGCTGACATTTTTTAGTTAATACAAAAACAGCAAAGGGAAATTGTCTGTAGTCTCACAATTGTAACCAAGATTTTATGTGTCTAAATAATTTTATATATGTAATGTCATAAACTCCAAATCTTACTTGACATTTTGACTTTTGCTTTTTAAAAATAAGTACTTAAGCTGGGCGATGGTGGCTCAGGCCTTTAATACCAGTACTAGGGAGGCAGAGGCAGGCGAATCTCTGAGTTTGAGGCTAGCCAAATCTACAGAGCTACACAGAGAAACTGTCTCAAGAAATAAAAAAAAAGTATTTAAAATATTTTTATTATAAAAGAAACTAGGGTCCAGAAAACATATGTAAATTTAAGCATAATGGCGTTATTTTTTTCTTTGCCAATTATTTTCCTATCTTTCCACTTCTAAGCACACAAATGTTTAGTACAATAGAGCACTTCCTGGTACACCCATAATTCGAGCTTAGAAGACATGAGGAGGTGATTGTATAATATAAACCGTGAGGTAGGTATAAGAAGACTAACCACTGGGCCTGGAGAAGGTGGCCAGAAGACTCATGTAGGGCAGCTCACAGCAACTCCAGCTCCAGTGGATCAGCATCCTCTTCTGGCCGCCTTAGATACCTCACACAAGTGGCACCCCGCCCCCACTATAAATAGTTTTGATTTTCCTACTATGGCTCCAGGTGCTGTTCTGACATTTAGATCTTAAATACATGTAGTTCAGTTAAATTTAATCTCTGTATAAGGAATTAAGTCATCCCCATAGTTAACAAGATATTTGTTCTTCTAAAAATTTGGTCACTGTATAAATATTTCAGATTATTAGAAAAAGTGCTTTTTTTTCCCCCTATACTCTATCAGTGTGAACGAGTATAATCGCTTAGTTTCATTTTACTGGCTTTATGAGTAAATTGATAAGTGTGCTGTTTATAGAGAATGTTGTTCTTGTGGTTCTGGGCATCAACTCCAAAGGCCTCCCCATTATCCGCATGCTTGCATGCCCATACCTATTCTATCGGTTGGGATATTCTTGAGGCTTTTCTATTCAAAATCAAATTGCTTCTTTAAAAATAACTTTGATCTGATGTCAAAGGGGAAGATACTAAATCCACCTCTAGCATGTTTATGAAAATAAATTATGCAACCTCATCACACATACTTCTGCTTTGTGCCTTTAGTAAGTAGAAGACTCACTACTGTTCATCAGTTTCATCTTTCAAATAACATTCACCCTTGAGGTGTTTTGAAAGTTATGGTGTTTACGGTTTTAAAGTATACACTTGTGAAAATAAATTTTGTGTACAGTCAAGGTTTAAAACAGATTGTCTTCTGACCTGGGGATGAAATTGAGTCAAGCAGTGGTGGTGCAAGCCTTTAATCTTAGCACTTGGGAGGCAGAGGCAGGCGGATCTCTGGGTTGTAGGCCAACCTGGTCTACAGAGTAAGTTCCAGGACAGCCAGGATGATACAAAGAAACCCTGTCTCTAAAAACAAAAACAAAACAAACAAAAAAACCTCCACCACCACTAACAACAAAAAAAATCAGTTTATATTTAATTTGCTTAAAAATATCTGACAAGGTAAGATAAAAGTTTTAATTTTTACAACAGCTTTATATTTTTATTTTTGTGTATATTTGCTTGCATGTTTGCATGTATACAATGTGTGTACCTGATGCCTGCGGAGGTCAGAAAAGCAAGTCAGATAACCTTAAAACTGGAGTTACAGATTGTTGTGAGCTTTCATGTAGGTGCCACGACCCGAATAGAACAGCAAGTACTCTTGCCCATTGAGCCATTTCTCATCCGCAAGAAAGGCCCTTTAAATTATGAAGGTTTTAAATGTTGTTGCTACACCTGTGTGCTTTACGGGGATGACAGTGTTTTGCAGTGCTCGGCATGAAGTATGAAGTAAATGGACTTTCATGAAAGAAATGTGGGCATAGGAGTAATGGCTACTGTACTTTGGATTTTTGTCAGTCTGTCATATTTGCCTTGAATATCATGTGTGTTTAGACCATCTGTGGTTTAATAGCAGCTAACAGTCTACAGTTCAATCAATGTGCAGGCTTTTAATTGGTGACTCGCTGATATTCTCGAAGCAGTAATGAATGTGATCATCTGTATAAGTGCTGGTGGCATTCCTTCATTCGGTGGCTTTCCTTTTGAATATTTGGAGTAAATCTTGCAAGCCTTTCATATTTGAAAATCATGGAAAGGTTTTGAAATTGATTGCCGTGTTTTTGTGCAGGAAAATCCATATTAAGGCAAAATGAAATGCAGTTTATAGGTAAGCAGAACCAGCATTTTAATTGCAGAACTAATTTAAAATTTTAGAGTCTGCCCCAAACTCTTCAAGAACTGGAAGTCCACTGAGCCCAAAGAAACATACAGAAACAAGTACTATCCGAGTGATGTCTACCAGCTTACCTGACTTGGGACTCAGAACCATGGATGGATGTGAAAAAGAGGCATTGTCCATGCCCGGTGACATTAAAGGTAAGTTTATAAACCCAATGTAATGTGTGCCTTGCGCATGATGAAATTTCTATTTGTCATATAAAATTATAAAAATTGGAATGTGGCCATCAAAAGAAACGGGTTACTTTTGAGAAAAGTAAATTATATTTTCTATTTTTAAAGATTATCTTTCATTTTTAACATAATTTGAGAATGCTTTGACTTGGTCTTTTTATTTATGACTAATTTTTTTCTTATGTGACTAGTTTAAATTTTCAGTCTTTGAAGTTATATCATTATTTGTGAGGCTATTAAAGCACATTGCAGGTTTCAGCATATTAGGTTGAATCAATGTAAAAAGAACCAAAAAGCAAATAGATCTCCTGGTGCATGAGACAGTATCAGATGTTATAAAAGCACCAGCGGAGGTGGTTAAGAGCACTGACAGCTCTTCAAGAGGTCCAGCAACCACATGGCGGCTCACAACCATTTATAATGAGATCTGGTGCCCTCTTCTGGCCTGTAGCTTTGCTCTGATTAAAAAAAAAAGGGCTTCCAGAGGAAACTGCCTTGCTTCATTGACTGGTGACTGATGTATAAGCAAATAACTAATTAGTACAAGTTGGAAAAACCTAAGTAAAATGGTTGGCTTATGTGGGTGTGAGTAATTTGTCTTGTGACAGTGTTTTTATGGACTAGTGGGTGAGGGATGGGTGAGATCTACTATTTCTTACAACTTTGTGAATATACAGTTACTGCAAAATAAAAAGCTTGTCAAAGTTTAGAATAAAGTGCTGCTTGGATGCTCAAAATGGTGAAGGTAAGCTCTATAAAGGAAAGGTAACCAAAACTACAGGGCTGAGCTGTGGAAGAAGAGAATGCTGGGATGTCAAAGGCTTATAAACCTCTTAGAAACCAGAGGTACAGAGAGGAAGCTGGGATTTCAAAGACTCTTCATTGTACATCTGTCTGCCCATGTCAGCAAACACTTTTTTGTTTTAACTGGGTGGGTGCTGCTGTGTCTGGTGGAAGCCAGGACTACTGCTGCTGACCCACAGTGCCCTGAGGGCCCCACATGTTCTAAAGCGTTACCAAACCCAACATCTGTTTTTCCAGTAGTATATGAGATTATAGTTCATCTTAAAATTGATAGTTATAAAAAACATTTGTGTTTCTGTACATGTAGAGCATCAGATAACAACTTCAGTAGTCCGTACTCCCCCCACTGGTGACACTTAACAGTATTAGTATTGTGAGTACAGCCTCTTCAACCTTGGGCAATTTAGTTGAATGTCAGATACAACCCACACTCTTGATTAATGAAAGTTTCCACAGGTTTGGACTTTTGTCCTATACCTTGGCAGAGAACAGGAATGCTGACTTTGGATCTCAGCCATTACACAAATAAGGAGTATTTTTCTCATTTGCTGATGAGATTATATTTCGTCCTTCTGCCCCTGCTTTGACTAGTTGAGAGCAGAAGTTATAAAAACTTCATGTTCTCAAATAAAGGGCAGCACTGGCTGCTTTGTAGTTGTTTTCCAAATGCTTGCTTTGCTTGCTGCCCACTGTCCATTCCTGTTCTTGTGCCTGCCGTCTGAACGCAGTCCAGGGGAGAGCAGTGCTTTCTGTCTTCTGTGCTGTAATACTCAACCTGGGTGGCTAGTTCTTCTTGTGCATGTCTCATCAGTATAATCACATGGATTTCATGCTTTCTAGAAACTCATAGTTTCTGACCTGATAATTGTTCATTATTTATGAATGAACATAAGCATGTGATCATCTTCAACTCCAAATCTCCTTTTCAATCTGGTCTTGCAATTTTTCATCAATGAGGGGAGGGCGTGGGTATGGAGGTCAGAAGACAATTTGAGAAAGGAAGTCGTCACTTCTCCACTATATGGCTTGAAGGATTGAACTCAAATCATCAGACTTGGAGGCAAGTGCATTTTCCTGCTGAGCCTTTTTTTAGCCTCACCCCAAAATCTTTTAATTGTTCCTTACAAGTTGAAAAAAATGCATGTGAAATATAAAGTAAAGGCTTTGCAATTTGGTGGTGCCACACACCTTTAATCCCAGCACTTGGGAGGCAGAGGCAGATCTCTGATTTCAAGGACAACCAGGGCTGTTACTCAGAGAAGCCCTGTGTTGGGGGAAGGGGAAAGGTTTTACCCAGTGTTTATTAATAGTTTCATGTTTGATTACTTAGAATCCCCCCATATTACCTGCATATAGTTTTTAAAAATATATTCAGTATTTCCTTCCTTCCTTCCTTCCTTCCTTCCTTCCTTCCTTCCTTCCTTCCTTCCCTCCCTCCCTCCCTCCCTCCCTCCCTCCTTCCTTTCCAAACTCAGAGATCAGCCTGCCTCTAGCTCCTCAGTGTTGAGATTAAAAGTGAGTGTCACCACCACCTGCTATTCATTTTTTGCGTGTTGGGTGCATAGCCTGCCTTGATGCACCACATGTGTTCAGTGCCTGCCAAGGCCACAAAAGGGCATCATATCCTCTGTAGTTGGAGTTACAAATGGTTGTAAGTCACTGTGTGGGTGCTGGGAGTTGAAGTCAGGTACTCTGGAAAAGGACTCAGGCTAGGCTAAGGAGATGGTTCCGTTGATTAAAGTTCATGAGAACCGAGATTTGGATCTCCAGCACCATGTAAAAAGTTAGGCATGATCTGGACCCCAGTTTTCTCTTTGCTGAATATCAAGCCATCAATGAATTCTACCCCCAGACTATTTGAGATAGGATCTCATGTAGCCCATTCTGGCCCCAAACTGACCATGTAGCCAATGCTGACACTAAAATCAAGATGGAGAGGTGGTTCAGTGGTTAAGAGCACTTGCTCCTCCAGGGAAACACAGGTTTGACTCCCTGCACCCACATAGCAACTCACAATTATCTTTAACTCTAGTTCCAGGGGATCTGATGCTCTCTGTTGGCCTTCTTGGGTACTGCAGGCAAGACATACATATTAAATAACAAGTTAGGCATGGTGTTGTACACCCATAGCCCTAGCTCTGGGGAAATGGAAACAGGATGATCACTCTACCCTGAACGTCAACCTCTGTCTCAAAAAATGAAGTGGAGGGTCTTGAACCACTGCTCAGCTGTCTACTCTTCCAGAGGATCTGAGTTTGACATTCAGCACCCACATAGTGGCTCATAATCATCTGTAACTACAGTTCCAGGGCATATGATACCCTTTTATGTCCTCTACAGGCACTGCACACATGTAGTGTATACATATATAAAGGCAGGAAAACCACTCTTGCACACCCTGAGATAGGAAGAATGTGTTTGAATTCAGGAACTACTAGTAATAATTAAAACAAAAGTAAAACAGAGAATGATTGGTGACCAAAATATGTACATGTACACAAATATGCATATACATATATCAGACATATGTATATATATGACACACATATTCTGCATTTTATAAAGTATTCACAAGCAGACAGCTTGCTTAGAACAGTGTCTGGCTCACATGGTCAACCTAATGACTGTAGGTCTACATGACTAAGAAATCGGAAAGAAAGGGGCTGGTTGGTTTTTGACACAGGGAATTAGCATGAGCTGGAAGATGAACCTGGATCAGAGAGTGGCATGTGGCAGCAAGGCAGAAGTGTTTGGTGTGCTGAGATTTAGGCTAGGCTAGGTGTTAGACACAGCCAGCAGGATGTCAAGAGCCAAAGCTTGGGCGTGTTGTGTCAACCATAGCTACTGTATCTGAACACGAAACCAGGAGCACAGGACATACGGACAGCAATAGAATTGACTGTGGGTGCCAGGCACACACATTGTGTATGTACATATATACATGCATTGTCAGAGTTTATTAACTCTAAACCTAAAGACTTTGCTCCTTGTTTTTGTGAATTCAGAGGAAGTAATTCTAATCTAGGACTTGCTCCCTCGTGTCTATACCATGTTGTAGATAATCCAGGGCCACCCCAAATCTAGGGAGTGTATATCAATCCTTTTACTCAACTTTGTGTTTTTTCCAGTATGTATATGTATTATGTGTACATGTATACATAAATACAAGAATATATATGTTTAAAACTACTTTGTTTCTTTAGAAATCAATATCTGTACCTGAAGAGACATCAAATCAACTAGCCTTTCTGGAAGAACCAGAACAAGAAGAAAGTGAGTTTTTGTTTGATGAAGAGATGGAAGAGACAGACAGACGGAAAAAGACATTTAATGATTGGTCTGATAATGATTCAGATTATGAAATTGATGACCAAGATTTAAACAAGATTTTGATAACTCAGACACCACCTTATATGAGAAAGCACCCTGGAGGAGATTGAACAGGCACCCATACATTACAAGCAAACATTACATCAGAACTTGCCTGTGTTACTATGAACAGGACCTGTAGACGGAAGGTGAAAATACACACACAGCCATAAAGGTAACGATTTCTAGTGAGCAACTTTCTGCTGATAGTTTGCTTTGATTGCATGGTATTGCTTGTTTTGTTAATTTTATAAACTCTCAAGTATAAATAAATTATACCCAATTTGAAAATTCTTGGATGGTCACAACCTGAAGAGTATAAGTGATGATGATATAAGAATACTATCATCAAAAAATATTATTTACTGACTAAAACTTGTGGGAAAATGTAATTTTCTGATGAAGGAATAAAAAAGTTGCTATGGACAGGCCTACTCGATATGCTCCTTCCATTCTCTTGCTTTTAACACAGATTCTGGCCTCTACCTAATTGTTAAGCTAAGGTAGAAGAGAGAACCAGAATGGCTGTCTGGCCTCCAAATATCTTTAAATTCTAGGCGTGTAACAGGGTCTTTTTCTGATGTTGAACTTTTCAGAGAGGCCTCAACGTTAAACATGTGTGAGAGATGGAACAGTGAGAGGAAGTTACCTCGCAGAGGACAGTGATGTTAGAAATGAAACAGCCAGCTAATGTTTGAGCAGAGGGGACTGCCTATCACAGGCTTGTGAACAAGAGACATGGTCTCCTTGGAACTTTTAGCCACTGCCTTTTTATCATGTCAAATGCCTTAAATCCTGGAACGTCTTTTGCCAGGTCCTCCGGCCTAACAGGGAGCACCCTTACTTGCTGAGCCATCTTGCCCACCATCAGATAGAGGTGATGTCTATCTGAAATCATTTTGTAACAGAAGTCTAAATATATTCTACTAATTGCTGGGCCTAGGGGCCTGTATAATCCCAGTTACTTGGGAGAAGCTAGTAGGAGTAGAACACATTGAAGAGTGTCCTGGTCAATTTCACAAGACCCCTCAAAATAGAAGAGGGTATGGCTCAGTGGCAGATGATAAGCATGATTTAGGCTATTTCCATGATAAAATCACTGTCCTTGGTTCTAAAAGAATAAACAGATTGATGTCAGGTTAGATAGTCAGAATTGGCCTCTGAAAAGAATGAATTTAGAATGAAATCAGAAATCAGAAAAGGTAAGAATGAAATGTGCAAAAAGCAGGAAAAAGTATTCCAGGAAGAGGAGTCAGTGAAGAGCAACTGGCAAATGTGAGATACCAGTTTGCCCATAGCTGTGTCAGATGCTTATTATGTTTGTGAAGGCAGAGTCAGATTAGAATAGTTTGTAGACCATGTTAAATTTATCAAAGTTAAAGTGCAAGTTAAAGATACACTGTGATGTGATCCTATTCTTATTTATTTATTCAATTTTTTATTTTACATTCCAACCACAGTTCTCCCTCCCACTCCCCTAACCTCCCCCTTAGCCCATCCTCAGTCCACTTCTCACCAGGTGAGGAGTCAACATAGTCTCTCCCATGCATTAAGACTGAGCATGGCATCCCACCATAGGGAATAAGCTAGCTCATGTGCTGGGATTATATCCTGGTCCTACTGTCATTGAGCATGGCATCTGACCCTAAGGAATAGGCTCCAACAAACTAGCTTGTGTACCAGATTTGTATCGTCGTCACAACTGTCTCCCTCATACGGAATCTCCACAGTTGTAGGTCTAGAGTTAACGAGTTTCCTTGGTTCAGCTGTCTCTATAGATTTCTCCATCATGACCTTGAGCTATTTTTATTTTTAAAAGATAGCTGTGGTCCACAGGACAGAAAATAGACAGGCTATTCATCTAGGAGATGGTGAATGATAGTCTTAGTTAAACTGGTATCACAGGAAATAAGAGAATGAGAACTACATCTGAGCCTTGATGGATAAGAGAGAAGACTCTCCATGGTTGTTTAAGTAGGAGTGCAGAGCCTGCCAAGATAACAGGACAGTTTTAATGAAGAAGTATTTCAGCTGTGTTGAACTGGTGTGACAGGGTAGGATCACATATCTTTATTGGTAACGACCTGGGAAATAACCACATGAAATGAGACATCTTAAAATCTCCAAAGGTCTGCAAGGTGAGTGATTAGAAAAGTGAAATGCTGGATGCATCTTGTTTTCCTGAAGATCCTTGTGGAATTTTATTGGTGGTGGTAGGCAGGGGTTGAGGAGTTCAACCTTGCAGAAGCTACACAAAACAGGAAAAAGACAGAAACCAAAGTTGGGGATTCTAATGAGAGTCCTTTCATCATCAAATGATTGCCTTTAAGGAATAAATTCTGTACTTCCCTGGCAGAGAAGAGACCATGGCCAAGAATGTAGGTTTTCTAGAGCAAAGCTAATCTACTGTACTTGAGATGTGCTGACCACTGAAAGTTCTGAAAATTCAGTAAACTCTACTGTGTAAGTTGTTGTTGTGGGGGACTGTATTCATGCTCTCCCCTAAATAATAAAAAAAAAAGCTAAATAGTTTCTCAGTGATAAAACTTTATTTGCCTTTTTACCTACTTCCCTAGGGAAAAGAACATTTTCCTGGTTGTTTTAAACATAGTAGAGAAATTTTACACTAGAGGTGCATTCCTGAAGCCCAAGTATATAGTGATTGGGGGGCTGGAGAGATGACTCAGCAGTCAGAAGACTGCTGCTGTTTCAATGAACATAGGTTCAGTTCCAAAAAACCCACTTCTGGTCCTTTGTGTTCCAAGCACACATGGTGAACATTCATACATACTGTAAGCAAATGTGAGCACCAAAACATTAGCTAGTTTTGGGGTAGAAAAAATGTCCTGACTGGCTAGCTCTGGAGGCTGGAGCCACAATAGGACAGTTCAGCCCTAGAGAGAGAGTTATCCTGACTTGTCCGGGGCTGGGCTACCTGAAGCTGGGGTGCAGCGGGGTATGGTTTCCCTGCATATATAGCAATCCTCTTCCTCTCTTCAGAGCAGTTGCAGTTGAGCTCTGCTCTGTTCCCCTAAGGGAACGTCCTAGCAGAGTTAAGCGCTTCTTCCCGCTTTTTCCTTCTTCCGGGAAGTATCTGCAGAAATGTAGCAATGTCCTTCTGCTCCTGCAAAAAGTTGTTACTTTTCTGCTACAAAGGGAATGTGGGGGGGGGGGTTGGTGAGGGGCAGAGGGGAGGGGAGGGTGAGGGAGCTGGGATTGACATGTGAAACAAGCCTATTTCTAATTTAAATTAAAGAAAGGGGGGATTGTCCAAGCAAGTTCTTCTATTCTGCACTGGGGAATGAAGATCTTCAACCCAGAGATTTATTTGGGAAGCAGTCCAGGTGAGTGGCTGCCTCTGCCAGACTGGGAAAAAACAACAGCGACTGGACAGGCCGAGGGGCTTATATAGGGGTCCTTAGGGGCGGAATTTTCCCAGGGAGTTTTTCTGCTCAAGGATTGGTTAGTTTAGTTGGTCAGGAACAGACATGGCTCTGATTTCAGGACAAACTGTTTCTTTCTCTGGTCCTTTTTCCCCTATTGACTCTAATTTAGGACCAGGGTGCATTTCTTTCACTGGCTCTGATTCTAGGGACAAAGTGTGTTTCTTTGGCATTGGTTTCATAGTCAGGATATTTTTCTTTTGTTTTGGGCTCAAAGATAAAGTGTTTATGCCACTGGCTCAGGGGGCTCAGGAATTGGTTGGTGTCCTGCTCAGGGATTGGTTGATTAGTGTTTCAGTTGGTCAGGGGCAGAGTTGGCTTTGGTGTCAGGGCCAAAGTGAATTTCTTTGGCTGGCCCGTTTACCCTATAGATGCAGTCAAAACACTAATATACACAGAATAAAAAATAAAGTGGAGAGCCGTCTCATGCATGTGCATACAAGAGTACATATACACAAAGACAAATCACATACAAAAAAATGTTAACATGATCCTATCAATTTCACAGAGGCCTACTATAAGCAAATTTAGATCAGTTTGAATCAACTTTAGTCCTGAAACACAAGGTATTTACTCAAAATTATTTTATAAGGAAAGAATAGCACAAAGCTAATAAATAAACTAAATGAATTGCTACACATGAGAATGAACAAAACTATGACACAGGAAGATCATACCTTAAGATAATTGATGTAGATTACCTATGTTTAAATACTTAATGAAATAAAAACTTACTCAAGGGCACAGTGTAGTGGTAGATTACCTATGTTTATTATACTTAATGAAATAAAAACTTACTCAAGGGCACAGAGTAGTGGCACACGATTTTAGTACTTGGGAAGCAGAGTCAGGCAGATCACTTTGAGATTTCAAAAAAATAAAACAAAAGGAATTCAAAGCATAGAAGTCAATTGATAGGATTAGCAGTAGAAAGCATGAAGACTGCACATCTTCAGATTGGGAGACAAGCAACATGAAAGCAGATTGCAAAATGCAAAAGGTTTTGTTTTGTTTTTTGTAGTATATACTGTTTGCTCTCTTTTCAAATCACTTCTTTAACTAATATTAAGTAGATTTTACTATAAAGCTATTTACTAAAAAAACAACAAAAACTAGCACTAGCAGACTACAAACTTGAAATACAGGGTGACAGAGAATAGGGAAAGGAAACTACCCAGGGGTGGTTTGTTTAACACAAACATTTAAGTAGCTGAAGTAAGCAGGTTGTCAAGTTTATGTAAGTACAACCAGTTATTTACGTCTACAACATTGAAGAGACAAAAGCAAGGGCAGGAAAAAGTGTATACTATCAGATTAGTGCAATCTCCATCAGTATCCAGATGGTGCACGCACACACAACACACACACACACACACACACACACACATACACACACACACCAGTTAACAAGGTAACAAGAAATTCATGTAAAAATTTAAATAATTCAGAATAGTAAAAGCAGTCTTTACAAAGAACAAACTGTGGATGCACCTTACTGGGAGAAGGCTTACCTTGAATTCTAGTGACACAGCCAAAGAATAAAAATAAGTTGAAGAGCATTCAGCTACAGCTATCAGGACAGTAGTCCTTGCATAAGGGTAAACATACAGGTAATTGGAATATAATTGAGTTCAAATAAAATAAGAGCATGTGTGAGAAATCCTCAAATGTTTATCAATCAAGTGCATTTAATGGAAGAAGAATATTTGTTTCTAGTGGTGGGCCATCTGGATGTTTACATGCAAAATAGCGTAATAGGTTGGGCCTTGTATCAGATATAAAAAAGAAAAAACAAAACAAATTCAGGCTAGGTACTGTGGTGGAGGCTGGGAGAATCAGGGGTTCCATGTGAACCTCAGCTTAATCAAATAGACCCTAGTCTCAAGAAAATAAACAAAGCAAATTAACAAAATCAGAAATGAAAAGGGGAGGGGTCATATGAGGCAATCCAGAGAATTATCGGGTCATACTTCAAAAACCTGTACTCTACAATATTGAAAAACTTCAAGGAACTGGACAATTTTCTAGGTACCAAAATTAAGAGCAGATAAACAACTTAATACACCTATAGCCTCTAAGGAAATAAAACCAGTTATCAATACTCTCCCTACCAAAAAAAGCCCAGACCCAGATGGTTTCAGCACAGAATTCTACCAGATGTTCAAAGAACTAAAACCAATACTCTTCAAATTATTCCACACAATAAAACCAGAAGGAACGTTGTCAAACTCTTTTTAGAAGGCTACCCAAACCACACTAAGACACAACTAAGAATTACAGATCAATTTCCCTCATGAACATAGATGTAAAAATACTCAAAAAAATTACTGGCAAGCCGAATCAAAGAACATATTAGAAAATCATCCGCTATGGCCAAGTAGGACCATCCCAAGCATTGCTGGGATGGTTCAATATACAAAAATCCATCAATGTAATCCACCATGTAAATAAACTGAAAAAGAAAAACCGCTTGATCAACAAAATCTGACACCCCTTCATGATAAAGGTCCTGGAAAGGTCAGGGATAACAGGAACATACCTAAAACATAATAAAAGCAATATACAGCAACTAACAGCCAACATCAAACTAAATCAATCCCACTGAAATCAGGAACAAGACAAGGCTGTCCACTCTCTCCATACCTCTTCAATATAGTACTGGAAGTTCTAGTTAGAGCAATAAACAACAAAAGGAGATCAAGGGGATATAGATTGGAAAAGAAGTAGTCAAATTCTAGATACTTGCTGGTGATTTAATAGTTTATACAACTGACCCTAAAAAATCTCCTACAGCGGGTAAACACCTTCAGTAATGTAGCAGGGTAAAAGATTAGATGATAAATGGGCTGAGAAAGAAATCAGAGAAGCATCACCCTTTACAAACAGTCACAAATAAAATATCTTGGGGTAACTCTAACCAAACAAGTGAAAAACCTATATGACAAGAAGTTTAAGTGTAAGAAATTAAACATATCAGAAAATGGAAGGCTCTCCCATGCTCTTGGATAGGTAGGATCAAAAATGACAATTCTACCAAAAGTTCAATGCAATCCCCATCAAGATCCCAGTCTTGAAAGATCAATATTCAACTTCATATGCAAAAACAAAAAACCCAGGACAGCCAAAGCAGTCCTGTAAAATAAGGGATTTTCTGGAGGTGTCAGAGTCCCTGACTTCAAGCTCTACTATAGAGCTATAGTAATGAAAACAGCTTGGTATTGTCATGAAAACAGAGGTGAAATCCTAATGTCAACCCACAAAAAGCATATTCAACAAATCGTGCTGGTGTAACTGGCTGTCAACATGTACAGGAATGCAAATAGATCTGTCACCATGCACAAAACTCATGATGAAATGGATAGATCTCAATATTAATGTATCCACACTGAGACTCACAGAAGAGAAAGTAGGAAATACCCTTGAACACATAGGCACAGGAGACTGCTTCCTAAATAGAACACCAGTAGCACAGACACAGAGCAACAATAAGTGGGACTTCCTGAAATTGAGAAACTTCTTTCTGTAAAACAAAGAACATGGTCAACAAGACAGAACAGATCTCTATAGAATGGGAAAAGATCTTCACTAACCCCACATCTGATAGAGGGCTGATCTCCAAAATATACAAAGAACTCAAGAAACCAGACATCAACCTACCAAATAATTCAATTTTAAAAATGGGGTACAGATCTAAACAGAACTTAAAGAGAACAACCTCAAATGGCAGAAAGAGACTTAAGGAAATGCTCAACATCCTTACTTTTCAGGGAAATGCAAATTCAAAAAACTCAGATTCCATCTTACACCCATTAGAATGGCCAAGATCAGAAATACCAATGACAACTTATGCTGGAGAGCGTGTGGAGAAAGGGGAATACTCCTCCATTGCTGGTAGAACTGCAAACTTATATAGCCGCTATGGAAATCAGTTTGGTGATTTCTCAGAAAATTAGGAATCAACCTGCCTCAAGACCTTGCAACACCACTTTTGGACATATACCCAAAGGAGGCACACCCACACCACAAGGACTATGTTCATAGCAACATTCATAACAGCCAGAA